ACGGCCCAGGCTAGCATTCCCAGTCTTACCTAATCAGTCGAGCCTAAACGCTCAGGTAATCATTGAGTCGGCCAAAGCTAGATTGCTCAGTCCTGGCCCAAGTCTGGGTCGCTATTAAATGGCCATGGCTGGGGGACCCAGTTCTAGTCCAAGCTCAGGTAATCATTGGGTTGGTCAAGGCTGGGCATTCAGTCCTGGTCCATGTGAGGGTTACCATTTAACGACCGAGGTTAGGTTACACAATCTTGGCCGAAGTTAGGATAACTCTAGGATTGGCCAAGGCTAGGTTATTTAGTCTTGGCCCATATTAGGGTTACCATCCAACGGCCGAGGTTAAGTAACACAATCTTGGCCCAAGTTAGGGTTACCATTCCACGGTCAAGGCTAGGTCATTCAGTCTTGGCCAATGCTAGGGTTACCATTCAACAGCCGAGATTAGGTTACACAAACTTGGCCCAAGTTAGGGTGACTCTAGGCTTGGCCAAGGCTAGGTTATTCAGTCTTGGCCCAAGCCTGGGTAATCATTGGAATGGACAAGGCTGATTGCCCAGTTATGGTCCGGGTATGGGACAATATAGTTACCAGAAACGGAGGCTCCAAAATTATTACTATATCAAACAAACAATAAAAATTCACGATCAGAACACCAGAGGCATCAACACTAAATTTGCTATCATATATCATTCAGTACCATTATCCGATGCCGATGTCATTACACTTACTGATTGCGCTCATTGTACTTACTGAAACCTAGCTGACCTCCGATAAACTCTTTTCAGAAGTTTTTTGATTTAATTACCTTCTGTATCTATAGAGCTGATAGAATATCAAGAACTAGATCAAGGAGTGGAGGCGTCCTTTTGGCTATTAAAATGAACATTGTTGTGTCGCAAGTTAATATAAATCACATTATGATTCAATTTGAATAAATTGATGCAATCCGCCTGAGAATCTCACTGTCTTTGAATTATGTTCTAACATTCATTCTACTGTACATTGCTCCAGACATTAGAATTCATTTATTTCGGTAGTTCCTGGACGACCTTTTGAGTTCTTCTCTGATCATTATCGGCTCATAATCGTATTTCAGTGTGTTCAAGAGATCATTCATTGGATAAGGTAAAAGACCCCATTAGCGGCACTTTTAACCCCCATTAGTGGCACTTTTTCTTTCAATAAAAAAATGTTCCACTTGTAATAAAAATTAAAATATTTTTCGATCTAAAAGTCTTAAAGATTAGAAATAATATATTCATTATTTAAATTAATGATTTCATTAATTGAATAAGTATCAAAGTCATAGAAAGTGTCAGTAATGGGGTCCCCGCCACTAATGGGGTCTTTTACCCTATCGCTAGAAATTGGCAGGAAAACTCTATTACTAAGTCAGATGCTTATGTGACTCTTACATTCGTGCTACCACTTTATATGCATTGTTAATATCTTTTTATATTTTTTTTTCTTTTTTATTATACTATTGTATACTACTTACTATGTACAATTATATTTTGTATGGAACCCTGTTATTGGCTTTGCTGTTGGGTTCATTGTTTAATAAATAAATAAATAAATAAATATAGGTTTGCCAAGATGGGCTTTCAATAATGTCCCAGGCATAGCCCTGTCGTTCAACTCTGGGGCTTCCAGATGGGATCAGCCAATATTTTTAGAAATTTATGCATCTAAAATTTATTTTCATGTCGGTACCCGGGAAAAACGGATTAGATCTGGCCATATATAAACAGATCTGGCCAGATCTTTAAATTGTCTCTATCTGACGAGATCTGGCCAGATATAATCAGATCTGGTCAGATCTTTAAATTGCCCGGGTAAAAAAGATTATATGTAATTATATATACTCATACATAATTATATACAAAAAATGGCCCTATATAATTATATAGAATTATTTCCATAAAAAAAAAAAAAAAAATCGGGGCGCGCGGAAACCGAACCTGGGACCTGACGCTTGAAAGACTAATTCATTACCTGTTTACCAACGAGGCTTACTTGAATAGTAGAGTTTGTAATAACTACAAGTAATGTGAATCGTGTCCATGATCGATGCGTATTGAACAAAGTTTTTTATCAAATTTGCAAATTATTAATCAACAAACTCGGTAGAGTTTGGCGCCAAGTCCCATTCTCAAGCCAGACCACCGAGTGTTCAACAAACTCGGTAGAGTTTGGCGCCAAGTCCCATTCTCAAGCCAGACCACCGAGTGTGTATTTACCGTAAGCAGAACGGTATTTTGAGGTTACAAATTTTTTTTCAAATTTATTTCGATTTTTTATTTTTATGATGTTTTATAATAGTAGTAAATACTCTTAATTACACGTATTAACAAATGACTATTAATTATCTTGATGATTTCTATTTAAAATTATTAAAAATAATCAGCACATACTATAGCGACCCAGATTTTTAGATTCTGACTTTTTTCTTATGGAGAAAGTGACATGCCACAGACTAAATAATTCGAGAATGCATGGTTATCCTTCTATAGATGGGAAACTACAGTTAAAAAGAGATATTTCACAGCTTGCGCCTAGACCCGCCAAGGTGCGCTGGAATTATCCACAGATTCGGTAGAATCTGGCGCCAAGGTCCGTTCAAAAATCCCGTTGTAAACGGAGCGCCAGACTACCGACTGTGTTTACTGTAAGCAGAACGGTTTTTTGAGGTTGCGAATTTAAATTAATTCTACAGACCTTTTTTTCCTTCAATAATACTCTATAATAATACCTTATGTGTTATATTATCAATATTAATTAATAATGCTTATTAAAAATAATGAATTCTATTTAAAATTAATTAAATTCACTAGCACAAACTATAGCGACCCAGATTTTTAGATTCTGACTTTTTTCTTATGGAGAAAGTGACATGCCACAGACTAAATAATTCTATGGCCTCCAGGGTGCACTGGAATTATTTCTACATAAACTGTAGCTTAAAGGGGATAGTTTGCGCCGCAGACTAGATATCTAAGGGTGAACCACGAGCTAACTATGTGATGCTTTGGATTGCGTCCAGCAGGTGACACTACTTGTCCCGAAGCGCGAATTCAAACATTTTTTCCGGGATAATACTGTAATTCTAGTTCTACACGCCTTATAGAAATAGTAGAGAAAAAATTAAACTATTATTGTTAAGAAAAAATAAAATTATTGTAAGAAACCGAAAAAAAATTGATACAACCTACAAAAAATCGAGTGTGTATTTACCGTAAGCAGAACGGTATTTTGACGCTGTAAATTTTTTTTCCAATTTATTTGGATTTCTTATTTATATGATGTTTTATATAATGGTAACAGTACCCTGATAGCTACAGTTTCAGACCAACCAAGTTGGTGTCAGATAGTTGCCACCAACTTACCGACAACTTGCGGTCAACTTCCGAATTTGAAACTGTTGGCGTCAAGTTGGCTACAAGTTTCTGAGAAAAACAAGACCAATCTACTGCCGCAATATGTCGCCAAATTTCTCGAGAAACTTGTCGTCAACTTGGTGCGAAAGAGTTTCGAAAACAATTTTTGCCGACAACTTGGCGACAACTTGGTGAACAACCGAGTTCATTTCCAAGACTTGCCGCCAACTTGGTGACAAGTTGCTGCAGCAAATCAACGGAAAGTTGCGACCGGTTTGGCTATCAGGGGATGAACAATGTTACATATAACTGACTGTTCAACAGTCACTGTTGTGATCGACTGCGGTTTTGTAGTCAAAAGATCACATTCTGACAGATGGTTATAATGCAACAAACTGCTGCCATCTAACAGAGTAAATTTTAACTCAATATTACAAAGGCTTATTCTGTTCACTTCTGTTGAATTGGAGTGAATAAGGATTTAAATAAATCAATAATATAAGAGTGTAAATGATTTTTTTTACACTAACATTTGTATCTTCTTAAATTACTATGAATATTTTTCATTAATTTTTCTATTATTGGTAAATTTTTATCGATAAAAAATGTGTTAAAATTTATGTAGTTAAAATATTAGTAAAAAAATTACAATTTTTAAAACTAGTTGACCAGAAAAAAAAAATTTGTAAATCTAAATGTGCATGAATTAAAAACTCGTGTCATACCTAAATCAAAGTAAAGTTTAAGTATACAATAAGTTTTCACTAATAACCTTAATGCAATTTTTTATTTTTTTATAATTTCATATCAAGCGTTGATAGAAAAAAAATAATTATCTGATTACGTTGGTCCACGACATTTCATCCACGGACGATTGATCCACCCAAAAATTCAACCGCACGACAAATGATCCATGATTAATTTTTGGACAATGTTACCGTGTTGTGCCCTTATATCATGGATTTTGTGTGTGTTTATTCGATACTCGGGACAATTGTCATGAGGATAAATTGTCGGGTAGATTACTAATCATGCGGATCAATTGTCTGTGGATCAGCGGTTGTGTCACAGGAAATTTTTGTGAGAATCCTGTGTAAATTTGTTGAGAAAAGTCTTAGAAATTGTGATAAAAATATGAACAACCACTTATTTGATGCGGAATTAAATTCTGAAAATAATGTTTTTTAATTTTTTTGATAAAAATTTCAATTTATTATTAACAAAAAAAATAAACAAAATAAAAAATCTCAGTTTTCCGTGAATAACTCAATAACTATAGGTGATATCAAAAATCGGAGAAAAGATTCTAAAAGAGGAGAAAATTTCTGAAAAAAAGTCTCGACTCCCGAAACTCTAGCTTCAAAAACAATCATTTTTATTTAATGTTAAAAATAGGGTTCCGCGCGACTGCTGTTGTATTTTAGCATCGGCGCGGCCGGGTGAAAAAAAGTTTTTGAATATGAGGGTGAATTCCATTTTTTAACAATAACCATAAAAAAATTTCATAAAAAAATTAACTTTCTTAACTTCGACTCTCATGCAATTAGACATTTATGGCCTGACATTGTTTAAACACTACAAAAATAGAATAACAAACATCAATTACCCAGCCATTACACAATAATTGTTATGAGTATGAGCTGGATATTTCCCGTCAGGCTAGTTAGAGGTGAAATCGAACGTATGCTACACGCAAATATTAAAAACGCTATGTACTATATATACATTAATTACTATAAAACTACTTTTGCTCAGTTGGTGCAGCAATGCATTCATAAGCAATTTCTTACGCATTTTTATTATTTTTTTACTTACCGACTGTTTTTATGAATCATTTGGTATTTCGACTTTCTTTTTGCTGAAGGACTAAATGTTTCCTTTTCCTGAACGGGTACAAACTTATAGTGCAATTGATCAAATTAATAGCTATAACACATAAATTTTGTAATAGTTCATATTTAACAAGTAGCGTACTTTATTATACATAAAAATTTGCAATAAATTTATTAAAGAAAATGATAACCCAAAAATTAATAGTACAAAATAAATTTTTTTTTTTTTTTAATTGACATTATTATTAATTAAGTAACAAATAGAGTGAAACTTTTATAAAAAAATCCGAGAGCACATTAATTAAATGAAAATTTAATAACTCCTTTCCTTAATTTTTTTTCTCATTGAGGTAATGTCTAACGCAATTGAATCGGGTGGACGGAATTTAATTACAAAAGCGTGAAATAACTCTCCATAGCGTTTTATAATTATGTCAGTCCCATCCTGCCTTTTTTGTGCTCCAAAATATTTCCGACAGTGATTTGGAAATATGAGTGGTATAAGTATTGTTTTAAAAAATTAATTATAGTCTCACATGAAGAAAATTTTTTATCAAAAATGTATGTTGAATTATAAAGTATGAAAGAATAAATCAATTATACTCAAGCGTATATAAAATATATACATAAAAATGTTCTTTTCAATATTTATTTTTCGCTCGATTTTCGTATATATTTTAAATATAATTACAAATATAACAATAAAAGGCCATTTGACAGCCTAAATGAAAGTAGAAATCATAATGAATTAAAAAAAAAAATTAGGAAAACGGTTGGCCCTAAAAACCATCCCTACAACTTCCCACTAATTCCATCTTAAGCGATCAAAATTGTACTTATTACGTTTTTGAGCTCTATGAGCTCAAAAATATCAATATCGTGTCATTTTGAGATCTCCAAGGTCGAAAATTTGATATGATAGGGGCTTAATAAAACACTATTTTTTGAAAATCAAATCGCAATAACTTTTGAATAAACCGATTTCCACGCGGTTGGCAGTATTCGATGTAGTTTTTTAGGTCTCATTAAAAATCTTTAAGTTTACATGATCGAACAAGAAATTTCGAAGTTATTCCAAAAAAAAACTTTTTTCGGTTTTCTTTCGACAATGATAACTCACGAACGAATCAACTGATTTCGACCGGGCTGGCGGCGATCGACGTGTTTTTTGATGTTAAGAGCTGATTAGTTTTTTTGAATTGATCGGTAGAGCCGATTAAAAGTAATTAAAAAAAAATTAGGAAAACGGTTGACCCTGAAGGCCATCCCTACAACTTCCCGCTACTTTCGTAATTAAGCGCTCAAAATTACATTTATTGCGTTTTTGAGCTCTTCGAGCTTAAAAATATAATTTTCGTGTAGTTTTGAGCTCTCTGAGTTCAAAAGTCTGATAGAAGTTTAATAAAACACTATTTTTTGAATTTTTAAACCGCAATAACTTTTGAATGAATTACGTACCGATTTTCACGCGGTTGGCGGCATTCGACGTAGTTTTTCAAATTAGTAGTTCGGCCTCCTCTACGCTTGTGTGTGTGTGTGTTTTTTTTTTTTTTTTTTTTCCC